TTTTTTTTTTTTTTTTTTTTTAATTTGAATGATATGGTTGTAATTAGCTCTTGATTTTATCTTTTTATTATAGGAGGGTATATTTATCTTTTCACAATTTTTTATTAAGAAATTGGATAGAAAGGATGGTTTGCTCAATAAAAATAAAAATAAAAATGATCTGCACTTTTTATGAAATTTTGGAAGAAAGAAAACCATTGCTGCACCATAGCATCACCACAAATTCCTTCATTTAATCTTACTCAAGCACCGAAGGGATTTTCCAGCAAAAATAAAATGTAGGTAAAACACTAATAACCTATACAAAAATGGGAATTAAATTATTAATAAGAATTAATAAAAGATTGACATTGTTATGTTCCTGATAAGTGAGTTTTTTGCACTTATTTAAGTCAGATTATTAAAATTTTACGTCATCAAATTCTTAATTTCTACTTAATTTGGGTTAATTTTCTTTTGTTTTTAGTGATGGATTGTTTCTAAGCAATTCGAAAGGAAGAAAGACAAAATCAAATGAAATCTATAATTTTGGGATCAAATTCCACAAGTTAGAATTTAACGACATTGATTACGCATTGATGAACTGAAGGACTGTATTATACTATTTAAAAAATTGAGGGGGTTGAAGAAAATAATAAATTAAATGGACCTCACTTTTGGACTCGTATTTGGATTCAAACTTATTAAGAGGAAATTACAGCAATCCCTAGTCTTTAAATTCTCATTTCAAAGATAAGAATTTAAGTTTTTATATTACATTTTTTAAATATTAATAATAAACTAATAAAATTAGAAAAATATCAAAACCCTACCCACTACCCAGCAAACCTATAAATATCCTCCCTCGCCCCCAGGGCACATCTCCAAGTGGTAAAAGGGGAGGGTGGAGAAATTCAGCTTTGCTTGAGGCTGCTGTGTCAAGGGTTCGAATCCTGAAATATGGATTTAGCTCTTGGGTAAGTACAAGTGTACAAGCAGCTTTCCACCCTGTACCCTTGGAGGCATAACCTGCGATTTACCTCCCTCACGA